GGGCCAAGGGGGGTGGGGGGCCCCCCCCCCCCCCCCGCCAGTGCACAAATTTTTGTGCACCGGGCCTCTAGTACTAATAAATAATAATACAGTGATTAATAAATAATAACACACATGTGGTTTTAGCAATTCTCAATGAATAATGGCTGTAAAACTCCTTAAAGTATGTAAGGAATTATAATTCCAGGTAAAATCACCATGAGCTTTTTTGGCCTTTGTTTCTCTGCATCACTTCCCTGATCCTCATGTGGTCAGTCACTGCAGCTCCATTCAGAAAGCTGTGCTTTCCCTGACAACCCAGTCCAGAAGCTTGTTCTGCCATCAGTAAACTTAGGTTAAATAAATACAAATTCATTTTCACAATTTATCTAACCTTAAATTATAAATTTTAAAAACCCCACAGGATTTCATGCTGTTGGTGCCAAGTGTAAGTACTCATCAGCCTAGGTCCCAAAGAAGTTTTTCTCTGCTGTGTTCTCAAAGTTCTATAGTTTTATGTTTTACATTTAAGTCCATAATCTATTTGGGGTTAATTTTTTGTATAAGGTGGAGATTTAGATCGAGGTTGACTTTCTTTCTTTCTTTCTTTCTTTTTATTGTTGCCCTATAGATGTTCAATTATTCTAGCACTAGAGGCCTGGTGCATGAAATTTGTGCATGGGTGGGGTCCCTAGGCGTGGCTGGCAATCAGGGCTGATTGGAGCCTGGCTGATTGAGGCCTGCAGGCCGGGGGGAAGGAGGAGGGAGGGACTGTGGGAGGTTGGCCAGTTGGCCAGGGGGGAGGGACTGCGGGAGGTTGGCTGGCTGCAGGAGGTTGGCTGTGGGAGCACACTGACCACCAGGGGGCAGGTCCTGCATTGAGTGTCTGTCCCCTGGTGGTTAGTGCGCATCATAGCAACTGGTCAACTGGTCATTCCAGTCATTCCGGTTGTTTGGTTGTAATGGTTGCGCATATACATATATATATATCTACACTAATAAGAGAGAAATATGCAAATTGGTGTCACTCCGCTACCCTTCCCATTGGCTAATCAGCATATCCTTATGCAAATTAACTGTCAGCCAAGATGGCGGCCGGCAGCCATGCACTGAAGCGAACAGGGAGGCTTGCTTGCTCCAGTGACTGCGGACTCCAACGTTCCC